TTCCTTACCCAGCGCATAACAGCGCGCTTCTACCGCCTGCCCGGCTCCTCCTCCCCGCTGCCGCAGCCGCGCCAGCGACCCCCGGCGGTGGCGGCGGCGCACAGGCCACCAAACTCCCTCCGCTGAGCCCCTTGCCGCCTTAAGCGTGAGCAGGGTGAGGCGACGCGATGTTCTCGTGTCAATCTCAACCAATGCGCTGCCGCAAGGAGTAAAAGAAAGAAAACAACACGTCGAGGACGCAAGTACGGAAGATGGGATGACGAGGTTATACCTAGATTGTCCCTCTTAAGACATAAATGCCGTGAAAGCATGGCTCGAATCTACCACCCTCTTCTACCGCCCCGGGAAAATCATCCCCGCCCCCATACCCCTCCACGCCATATCAATGCATTCCTAAGGCGCAAGCAAGCAACCCTTCCCTCGCCACCTCTAGAATTAAACCTCATGGAAGAAATGGTTGTTGGGTGGGATATATGGCAAACCTCTTTCTCTGGCGAGAAAGCAAGTCAAGTTAGAGATAGTCGCATCGCATTAATGAGTGCAGAAACGCTGTCACAGACAGCTGGAACTATTCGGTCGGGTTCTAGAACTGCTTAGTCAGTTCAACAGACTGTTATCTTCACCAAGATCAAACCTAGTTAGGTCAAAGTAATAGTTCCACTTGCTCGCCTAGCTCGCTACAGGCGCTGATTGACCAGCACGTAATTAAGTGGGTTTACGGGCGACTTGTTTCCCGCGTGCCCCTCAATATCCAGTTGCTTTCAAATCAAATAGCTTCAGCTTTGTTGAATGTAGAGCCGTAGAATAAGGACAAACTATCTTATAACTTAGCTCTTAATAGATAAACTTACGCTAGTTCTTAGTACCATGTTGAATGACGTTGTATACGCCGTGCGTATTTTCTGCCATGAAGCTATTTGAAGGCCGCGAAGCCCTCGCAGCCAACGACGCTATAAAAAATCAAGCACAATATCTCACCTTCTCGACCAAACGAAAAATCCACCTAACAGATATCTCAAGTCATACAAGAGTATAGGCAACATGGTTTCTTTCACAGTATTCAGGGGTTCGAAAGAGGGGTCCATCGTAGAAGGAACTACAACCAGAGAAATACGTGAGGATGAGGTACTCGTGAAGGTGACACACTCGGGTGTTTGTGGAACAGATGAGCATCGGAGGCACACGGATATGGTACTTGGACACGAAGGAGTCGGAATAATCGAGGTGAGCGGCTCCAGTCTTGCACCTAAAATTGTATGGCTCCTAATCATCTCTGTAATAGGATATCGGAAGCGCCGTCAAAAGCCACTCAATCGGCGAGCATGTTGGGTGGGGATATTTTCACAACTCATGCGGTGTTTGCAAGCAGTGCCTGTTGGGGAGAGATAATCTCTGTGCGCAAGTTGAGAAGTACGGCAAATCAAACCTAGATCAGGGATCCTTTGGCACCTACGCGGTCTGGAAAGCATCATTTGTATTCAAACTTCCATCAACGATAAGTCTGGAAAACGCAGCACCTCTAATGTGCGGCGGAGCCACGGTTTTCCATGTGTTAAAGAGCTCGAATGTTAAATCATCAGACCGAGTCGGCGTCGTCGGAATCGGGGGCCTAGGCCATCTCGCTATTCAATATGCCGCCAAGATGGGCTGTGCGGTCGTCGCTTTCTCTGGCACAGAAGACAAGAAGGAAGAAGCCATGAGGTTAGGCGCAACACAATTCGTCGCCACAGCAGGAGTGGAAACGCTCGATATTGGAGAGCCGCTCGACCACCTCTTGGTCACCACATCGTTTCAACCGGACTGGGACCGTTTTCTGGCTATCATGGCGCCACAGGGAAGCATCTACCCTGTCACGGTCAGCGATCACAATCTGAGCATTCCTCCCGGTGTAGTGATTGGCAAGGAGCTGCGAATCATAGGCTCACTAGTTGCTCCGCGTCAGGTGTATCGGGAGATGATCGATTTTACTGCCTTGCACAATATCAAGCCAATCATTGAAACATTTCCCATGACGGCACAAGGAGCCACCGAGGCAATGGATAAGCTGCGAGCTGGAAAGATGAGGTACAGAGGGGTGTTAGCCGCTTAGTGTAGACAGTTTGTATTTTTTGTATCTACAGGAGCATACAGAGTCTTACCAATTCATTTATGATCACTGTTTAGACCTGCGGTTCGTCTACGTGACAACAGTTGATAGAAAAATAAATGGTAAAAACAGAGATTCATTTCTTTAAATATATATTAAGCTAGCTTTTCATTAACTAGACAACTAGTGTGACCTTTCCAGTAGTTATATCATAGACAAAGCCGTGTGTTCGTTCGGCAAGTTCTTTTCTAAGAAGAGGCGAGTTGTGTACGAGCGCAACATCATCTCGAATGCTTTGTTCAAGACTAAATGGTTGAGAAACCAATTAGTATATCGATCT